CTAAGGTGGTGGTGCACACCTTTAATCCCAGCACTTGGGAGGCAGAGGCAAGTGGGTCTCTGTGAGTTCAAGGCTATCCTGGCCTACAGAGTGAGTTCTAGGACAGCCAGAGCTATACAGAAAAACCCTGTCTGAAAAAATCCAAGAGAAAGAGAGAGACATAGACAGAGACAGAGAATATCTGTGCTTTCCAAGTTCTGTTTATGGTCTACTATGGGAGGGACCTGACCTCCTGGAACTTTGTTCTTGAGTCATGGATTTTTAGGCTATGTTAGTCATAGAAGAAAAGAAATAAGAAAATAAAAGAAGAAATGAGTGGCAGAGAAATATATAAATACAAGGAAAGGTGAATGAAGGTAGAAGTATGAAAAGTGTTAGGTGGGTAGATGGATGAGTGTATGGATGGGTAGGTAGATAGATGGGTGTGTGACTAGATATGTGGACAGATCAATAAATGCACAAGTGAATGGATACATAAATGTATGTATGTATGTATGGATGGATGGATGGAATAGATGGACTGAATGATGAGTGGGTGGGTAGATGGATACATGGGTAGGTGGGTGCGGCGGACTTCTCGACCAGCGAGAAAGAACAACCACCACACGAGGATTCTTCTCAGATCACGCTTTATTGGAGTGCCCTTGGTTGAGAGAGAGCATGAAGCGAAGCGGGGCCCAAGAGCACTAAGGCAGCTGCTTATATATGGAAATGGCACACGGGTCGCCCTGTGATTGGCTGCCACCAACAGCTGACATCAGACTGCATCGGGATAGGCCCAGGGACCCTTATCCACCGTGCATGCAGGAAGCGGGGGACACTCAGCTCTCAAAGGCTTAGCCAAATATGGAGTTGTTTATTTCCAACAAGACAGGATGTCAGCGCCATCTTGTAATGGCGATCCTGTTCGGCTCACTACAGGTGGGTAGATGGATGACTAGGAAGTAGATGAATGGATAGATATATAGCTAGGTGGATGAATGTATGGACAGATGGGTGGACGATTAGGTGAGTGAGTGAGTGAGTGAGTGAGTGAGTGAGTGAGTGAGTAGGTAGATGAATGAATGAATGAGTGTATGGGTGAATGTGTGAGTGGAGTTAGATAAACGAGTAGATGGGTGGATAGATAAATGGGTGGGTGATTGAATACTGAAAGTTATATGGGTATGTGGATGGGTGGATGGGTGAATGAGTAGGTGGAAGAATAGCGGGTGGATGGCTGTAAGGATAGATGGATTGAAAAACGGGTAGATAAATGGGCAAATATGTGGGTTGGTGGATTAAGGATGGGCTGATGGATGGATAAATGGAATATACAGATGGATAAATGGGTCGATATATGGATGGGTGTATGGATGGGGCGAACAGATGGATGTGGAGTGAATGAATGCATTGATGAGTGGGTGGTGGGTTGATGAATGGGTCGAAATATGGGTGGGTGGATCGGTGAGTGGGTGGTTGGCTGGCGGGATGGATAGATGGGTAGATGGATGAATAAGTGGGCAGATACAGGAATGGGTGAGTGGATGACTGAATGTTGCTGAATATATGGATGGGAAGATGGGTGACTGGATGGATAGATGAGTGAGTGGGGGAGTGGATGGATGAATGAATAAGTGTGGTGTGAATAAATAGAAAGGGATGGATAGATGGATGGATGGGTAAATGTGAGTTGGTAGTTGGATGGATGAATATGTAGATGGGTGGATGGATGGATGAGGGGTGGATGGATGAATGACTGAACAGGTGGATATATGGGTGGGATGAATGACCAGGGAGCATATAAATGGGTGGATGGGTGAGTGAATGAGTGGATGGGTAGATGGATAAATGGGTTGATATATGAGTGAATGTATTGATGGATAAATGGATGGATGAGTAGATGGGTGGATGAACAATGGGTTGGATAGATGAATGTGGGATGAATGAATGACTGAATGTTGGTGGATATATGGATGGGTGGATGGATTAGTGAATGGGTAGATGGGGGTTGTATAGATGGATTGATGAGTAGGTGGATATATGGGTAGGTGAATGGGTAAGCTGATGGATGAGGGGTAGATAGATGACTTGATGGGCGGATATATGGGTGGGTAGATTAATAGAGGGTGGATGGATGGAAAGGTGAATGGATGAATGAGTAGGTGGATGGGTTGATATATGAGTGAGCGGATGAACGGACAGTTGAATGGATGGACGGGCGGGTAGATATATGGGTGGATGATATATGGGTGAGTGGGTGGATGGATGGATAGATGGTAGATGGGTGAATAGGCAGATGGATAGAAATGTGGGTGGTTGGATAAATGTGGGGTGGCTGAGTGTGATGAGTGGTTGGTGGATGGTGTGAGTAGATAGATGAATTAGTAGGTAGGTGGGTAGATGGATGGTTGGATGCATGGATGGATGGGGATTGGACAGAGAGGTGAATGAGTGGGTGGATGGATGAGTAGGGGTTGAATGTATAGATGGATGGATGCATGCATGGGATAGATAAATGGATGCGTTGGAGAATGGCATTTAGGATGAAAGAATAAGTGGATGGAAGAGGAGTAGATAGGACATAGATAAATGACTGGACAGATACAATATCAAGAGAAGCAGACATATGACTGTAAATAAATAATAGATAAATAGATACAATAATAGATTATGGTGGCAAGATAAACAGATAACAAATCAATAAAATGGATAAATTGGTATGGGATGAACTATTGGAGACACAGATGTGTGAAAAGATACCTCTCCATCATAAATGTTGTACTATGTTTCTGGAATACTTTCTCCCACTGTGAGGAAGTCAGTTTCTCTCCTTTTTCTTCTCTCTCTCTCTCTTCTCTCTCTCTTTCTCTCCCCCCTCCTTCTTAAATCAGGAAATGCTTATTCCTTCCCACTAAGCTTTTCTTCCGCTTTAACTATCATCCAAAACATCTTGGTCCCCAGTGCTCCTCTTTCCATGCCTGTACCCTGACTCCTACTTTCAGCAGCATTAACCATCATGGGCAATGTGTTGATACACTGTTACTTGTTTGTTCCCACTGGAATGTCAGCATCATGAGTGTTGGAGAGTGGTGCTGAATTCCCAGCACATTGAAAATTATTGTAATTCGATTTGTGTTTCTTGAATAAACATATGGATTGGTGGACAAAAGTGTGGCTAATTGAGTGTGTGTGTGAGTGGAAGGATGACAGGGAGGAAGAGTGGGTGATGATGACTGGTTTGGGGGCTGATTTCCCATACATAGTGTATTGACTTGCTTTGAGGACCGTGCATACACTATCACACAAACAGATGTGTGCAACTAGATGTGCAGTTTCCTAGGTGAGGAGATGTCTAGAAAGGCGGATTTATGAACGAATATGGAGAAGATATAAAGAAAAGAGTTGATGGGTTGATAAGTGGTACTTAAAAATGCAAGCACCATAAACACAAGGTGGATGGATGGGTGGGTGGATGGATGGATGGATGGATGGATGAATGGGTGGGTGGATGAGTAGGTAGGTTATTGAGAGTGAGTTATGGGTGAGTGGGTGTATGAGTGAGTGTATAGATCCGTGTATGGATGTATGGATGAATGGGTGGGTAGGTGGACAAGTAACAGACAATAATGACAATAACAGACAATAAGTGTTCTGCTCACTTGTCCATACTTATCATGGCTTCAAAGCATTAAATCATTCAACATCTCTTTGTAGGAACTTCCCCCGCCATTAAGACAGCCCTCCCCTGTCTGGAAACATTCTTCCTCTTTTTGAACCCAAATTTCCCTGACCACATGTCTTTCCTGACTGTCTAGTTGGAATAAGAACAGGGCCGAGGAGGTGGTGAGATGAACCGTGGTGCAGGCGCAGCACAAGCTGGTTCCGCTGGATGATCTCCTCAGCATGGGCTCACCAGAGGGAGGTTCATCCCTGCCCCATCCTTATTACTTCAGAATGTGCTGTTTATTATGTCTCTGCGCTGTTGGAGGGGGCAGTCGACTCTGCTGTCTCTGCTATACACTCTGGCTCCATCTCCTCCTGGGAGAGGCTGGGGGAGGGAGATGCTGTAACCGCTGTCTTCAGAACAGCTGGATCTCATCCTGTAGCAAGTGTGGCAGAAAAGGTGGGTAGCCAGCTTTTTGGTTGCTGCAGATTAGAACTGTGGATCCATGGGACACTGTATCTGTGTCGTCACCATAAGGCACATACCTCCTTCGCACCAGTGATCCGCTCATGAGACTCCAACTCCCTCCTCTGTCCTCAGTAGTCTTGAGGTTTCTTGCACTCTGACTTCCTGGCCTACCTGGAGGTCACAGTAATCTATGTGTGTCCATTCTTCCAGTATAGAGATGGAGTACAACTGGGGGCCAGATGTGTGCGGGGAGACACGGTGGGCAGTTGTTGGCAGTCAATAGACCCAACTATGGTCTTGGTTCTGCCAGACTCTAGCTCTGTGACCTGGCACAGTGCTGTTGGCCAGCCTTGACTTTCCCATCTGGCTCATGGGTCTAGCAGTACTGCTTGTCCGCAGCTATGAGTGTGAGGGTTCTGAGAAGCCACCAGATGCAAGCTCACTCGCCCAGAACTGGCCCATGGCAACTTCCTCCCAGCCCAGCCACTAGCCTCCAGTGTTCTCCAGTGAGTCACAGTGACTAAGCCCAACCAGAAAAACAATGGGCTGGGCTGCTTGTCCCTGGGTCTGAGCCAGAGGATAGGGTAGGGGGCTGGCTGGTGAGGGCACCGACCACCCGGGTACCCTCTACCACTTTCGGAACTTTGGCTCTCTATACCAACGAAGATGCTCTCTGTGGTGTCTATACATCCCTTCTCTGAATACAGCCTGAGGTTCTGGGGAAGGCAGTAGCCTCCCAGCGAGGCGACCTGGGAAGATTCCTGGGGTGCCCAGCCTCCCCTGGAGGTTATACAAGAGCAGAGAGCTGGGAATAAACAGAGGGAAAAAGAAGACCCAGAGGGGGGAGAAGAAGGAGGGGGAGGAGGGAGAAAAAGAAGGGAGGGAAAAGAAGGGGGGAGGGAAGGTAGGAGGGAGACTGAGATAGGAGTGAAAACGCCAGAAGAGAAGAAAAGGGCAAGGAGGGGCAGTCAGCCAGGTCAGGGGCAGTTGAGGCCCAGACCTGGGAGGAGAGAGCCAGGGTCAGTGAGAGCAGGACTCAGAGCAAGGACCAGCAGCCAGGCAGAGATGGGCAAGAGGCTTTGAGAATGGAGAGGTGACCTATGGGCCAGTCACCCAGAGTGGAGTGGTGGGCAGAGAGGTGGGAAGTGGCAGAAGCTGCCAAGATGGTCTGAGGGGGGCATACCACCATGCTGCCCACAAGCGGGCGTGGAGGTCCAGCCAGGCCCCCACACTGCGGGGCTGGGAGGGTTTCTCTCTGACATTTTTACTAGTCTCGGAAGGAGGAGGAGGTGGTGGAGGTGGAGGAGACCAAGGGGGCGGAGAAGGGGGCTGGGGGACAAAAGGAAAGCAGCTGCTAGGCGTCCTGAGAAAGGAGAGGGGAGAGAGACCCACAGAGACAGGGTCCAGGGACAGTGGAAGGGCCTGGGGCTGCCATCTGGGAGCCAGCCCCACACCCCCGTCCCCAGGGGCTGGAGGGGCTGAGACAGACAGACATCCTTCAGACAGATAGAGCAGACAAGGAAGGGGTGTCAGAGACAGAGAGACCAGACAGACTGACAGGAGACGGGAAGAGGGACAAGAACACAACGAGAAGGACAAGGAGAAGAGAGAGGGCAGGGCAGGGGAGAGGAGAGGAGAGGAAGGAAAAAGAGAAGGAGAAGGAAAGGGAAAGAAAGGAGAGGAGAGGAGAGCAGAGTTTTTGGGCCACAGCACCAGGAGCCTTTGAAGCTGCAGGCGGTGTCCCCAGGGCCAGGGGTCAGGCCAGGTCACCAGCATCGTCGTGGGCAGGCCCGCAGCATGAATGGCCCCGCACTCCTGAGGAGAAATGCTAGCAAACGGGGCCTGGAGAAGCTGCTGAGGTAGGTCCCTCCCAGCCCAGGCATGGTGCCCGCAGCGCCCTTGCTGACAGTGGTACCCCTCTGCACCCAGACTGGCAGATATGTGGCACACGGACTGTGCCAGGCTGCTTATGCACGTGTTATGGGAGGATAGAAGCCCAGCACGACGCCATCATCTTGGTCAGCCAGGCAGCTTCACCTCTTCCTCCCATAGCTCCCTGTGGGTCCTATGGGGACCCACAGGGAATGATCTTCAGCGTAGCTGCACAGGCCTGTCCCCATCATATCTTCTTGCTGCCCTTGGGAACTAACAAGTGACACCCCCACCCCACTTTACAAATGAAACTGGACTTACAGCCATAGGCCCCAGAAACCACTGGCCTGACAGTCCTGGGCGAGGGAGGCTTGGAAACACTGGGGATCCTGATTCTCTGGCCTCTGGACCTCAGGTCTTTGAAAGTCTTCTTCACTCAGCCTGCTGTCTCCTATGTAAAGCGTGTGTGAGAATAGGCAGCTGTAGGCCCAGGCCCTGCAAACCTCAGGCACTTCTAATGATTAACTGCTCATTGTTGCCCTCGGAGCCACCTGCTGTGCCCTTCCTTTTCTTTCCTCTTCCAGCTTTTAAAGCTCTACTGCAGTGCCACCTCCTCCAGGAAGCCTGTCATGGTCTCCCTAGCCAGGAAGGTTTGGTTCCTTGCTCATCTGGTGGCCTGTTCCCTGGCCCACTTCCCTGGCTGCTTAAACCTCATGTTCCTGGAGAGTGGGCCTGGCATTGTTTCTTATGTCTCTGTGTTTTGAGCCTGGCTCTTAGTGGTGAGACAGGGCACAGATGGGATGGTGGGCAGATGCCAGGAGACAGCTACCTCCACATCCCGGCCCCATCATGGTCCCAGCTGCCAACCAAGGTCAGCAAACTAGCACCAGGGTCTAAGCTGGCCTCCCAGCCTCTTTCCACTCTAGCTCCCAGCCGATACCATAGACATGCCCCATGCCAGTCTTTCAGGCTCAGCTCAGCCTGCTCAGGGTCCTGCTCAGGAACCTCCTTTTCCTCGTAGTGCCCTGGGCATTTAGGAGCGCCTTTGATCAATCTTACCAACTCAGCAGTATCCTATAACAAAAAGGAAACTGATTCCAGTACCTTGTGGCTGTGGGGTGACAGGAAGAGCCGCAAGACCCTGCACCAGGCTGCCGTCCTGCTAATCCAGAGGCAGGATGACGGGACCATGGAAACTATAGACAAGACATCACTTTGGGCAGGGGTCAGGTTTGGCACCATTCAAAGTCTTGAGCTGAAGAGAGGTGGGAGGAGACCCAGAAACCAAGCCCTACAATGGTTAACCAGTGGTCAGGACAGGAGGGCAGGCCCCCGGAGGTCTAAGGGGGTTCCCATGAAGTGAACGAGTGGGCCCAGGGGCTTGTCCCTTGTGATGCCGGAGAACCACTTGTCCACGTGTGGAGTGGGACAACAATGGGTGTCAGGAGGCGATGGCCCGGGGTGGATATTTGCTAAACTGTGCATCTCTGGGAGCCTGGTCTTTCAATGGAACACGCCTCTCATGTGCATTGAGTACACACATATGTGCAGGCATGTGCATGCTACCATCTAGTACCCTTCACCCCTGACTCCATGGTGCCCTCTGTCCACACGCCGGCAGCCTCCAACACTGTCCACTTAGCCCAACCTTGGAGAATAATAGGTCTTTGCCTTGTCTCTGTTGGACAGATGAGGAAAAGAGGCTCAGAGAGGTCAAGTGACTTATTCAAGGTCACCCAGCAGGTGACCTACCTCCTATCATTCGCTGTCTTCGCCCAGACCCTTCCCCAGGAACCCAAGGCTTTCTCCTCACGCCTGGTAGCAGAGCCCTGCCAGTCCCTTCTGTGACAAGCTCTGGAAGGGATTGCTGGGTGCCAGCAGAAGCCAAGATACAAACTGAATCCAGTTTAAATTCATAGATGTCATGTCCCTACAGCTCTCTTCATCTGAGTCTGGGTATGAATTGAGAACTTAACACAATGCTGGTCAGCCCCCGGCTTATGTCTATTCCCTGTGCTAGGTATTTGGATACCCACTTCTGCCTCAGAGGAGCCAGGTCCTCCCAGATCCACCATAGGTCAGGCCACAGTGCAGGATGGCCACCTCTGCTCTCAGCTGCCTACCTGGTTCTGCAGTCCCGGGGACCTAGATTTAAGAGCAACTGGGCTGGTCAGAAGTACTTTGGGCTGATGCTGGCCTAAGAGACTGAGCCAGGAGTCACCTTGGCAGGCATCACCAACCAAGCCTCCTTTGGGTGGTGTGAGCTTCTCTCTCATCAGGTTCCAGCACCCATCAGCCAGCAGATAGCAGGGATGGCATCAGTCTATGGCTTCCCTGGGGTATAAGGCTACTCAGGCAGATTCCCACTCCACATGTGGCCCACTGGGCCTCTGGGGATCCCAGGGTGGCAGAGGGTAGCAGATGGGGCTGGCAGTCTGCTGGGTGGCCCAGTGGGGGGGAGGGGAAGCCAGGCCTCCAACCACAGTGTCCAGGGAGGCGTGGCTCCACGGGCCCATTGGAGGCCGAGATCCCGAGGGTGGGGTGGCCCCACCCTGGCAGGCCGGGTGGCCGGTGGGCGGCACCCCCGCGGGCCGGGTGGTCTGTCTGCCAGAGCTTGTCCTGCCTGGAGCCTGGCCGAGCCAGCAGCAGGGGGTACAGGGACCAAGTGGCCCAGCCCCCTGGGCAGGGTGTCAGGGCCAGAGCCCAGAGGACTGAGGTTCCGGTTCCAGTCCCAGCCGGTGCGTCAGAGCTGGGTAGATCAGGCGGCAAGCAGCAACCAGGGCGCCAAGGCACCCAGAGTCTCACCCACCCCGTGCTTCTGCTGGAGCCAGGAGGGGACACCATGGGGCTCTTGGGACCCTCGGGATAGCTGCAGGGGTATAGCCTCCAGGGACACTGCAACAGGCCCAGAGCATCTCTCCAGAGAACAATGCCAGGATGGACCACCAAGGTCTCCAGAGCACAGGTGGGCACGTGGGCTACAGGAGGGCAAAGGGCTTCATCTGAGCACAGGGGACAATGTGGGCAAGTGGATGCAGGTAGCTATAGGAGCTTCGGGTAGTGGTTGGGGTTAGAACCCATTAGGTAGTTCTGTGGGCAGAGAAAGGTTCTCAGGCTCTGGTACCAAGTGAGACCAGACTTGGCCCTCAGCCCATAGAGCTGGCTGTGCAGGTTGCTGTCCCAAGGAGCAGGGATGTGGCTATGGGGGTCCGCTACTATCCTCCCAGGGCAGGGGATGAACTAAGACCAACTGGTAATGGCACTCAGGACATGGAGGGCCTGACCTGGAGATGCTGGTGCCAGGGGAGTAGCACACTGGATGCTCCTGGGGGCTTTGAAAGTTCTCTGAGAGAATATGTCCTACCAGATAGGAAAGGAGAAAAGGAAGAAGAAGGAGCAAAGAGGTAGGAAGTGAACAAGATACATGGGTGAGGAGAAGGGTCCTAGCCAGCATTAGAGGGAAGGTACGTCTCTACTGTCCCCACTTGGCTGACCTGGGCGGGGGGGGAGGGGGGGTGGTGGTGGTTGGTATTGAAAGGGAAGGATAAAGGTGATGGTGGGAAGCGGCTTGCGAGTCAGTGCGAAAAGGGTAAAAAAACAGATGGGAAGAGCTGTGGGAAGGGAGGGGCTGGTGCCCCCCTCAACCAGGATCCTCCGACATGGGTCCTGCCCCTCAATTCCTGTGGCTGCCTTGTCTCCTCACACAGACAGTGAGGAGGACACCCTGCCATGCACTGACCGTGCAGGTCTCCCAGGTCTGGGATGCGGCTCTTTTCTCAGCATATGTGGTGGGGATATTGTGAGAACCAAATATGGTTGTTCAGTTTAGCGCTAGGAGTTGGCCAAGAAATGGGCTTGGGATCAGTGCAGGACCCACTGGCATCAGCTGATGTGGTACCCAGAGGGATGCGTGAGTCTTTCTCAGCCCATGGAGACTTGCCCTTGCCTGCTTCGTGCAGCTTACAGCACTGAAGCTGGGTTCAACGTCAATGGCTTGTAAGGGATATCTTGGGCTGAAGGCTGAAACAGGTCAACCTGGGATAGACCCCTTCCTCCATGAGAACCCCAGGAATGATCCATCCCTGGGAGTTAGATAGCACCGAGAGCTCAGATGTGGCCACAGGGCCAGGCAGGGTGTTCTCGGACCAAGGAGCAGATAAAATATTGAAATTAATCAATAGGTATCCATCTCCTTGTCTGACTACTCGGGGAGCAGGAAAATTGAGGCACATGGGGCACGCAGAGCCAAGCATAGGACTATGAGTTTGGAGAGTGTCTTGGCTATGCACAGTCATCTGCCACGCATCTGTCCAGGTGGGCAGACAAGTTAGACAATGTGTAAATCTGTGACCAGATGAAGGATGAGGCATATGAGCAGCATCCATTAGGAGAGCTGTAGCCAGGCCTTCAGGGCGAGGTGGATCTGGGTACAACCAGCCAGGGAGGAAAGAGGAGGGGATGGCAATCTCAAGCCAGTGCAAGCCATCATTGCGTGTCAGAGAGTGTGCCAGTGCCTTGCTTCGTGAGCCCTGTGAGCATTCTGCCAGGGCTGTCTGCTGCTGCAAGCCACGGTCTCTCTGAGCCCAGTCCCCACTGAGAGTTTGATGATGAGTGGGCCAGCCAGAAGACACCTCTGCTCAGCAGAGCGCGGGCACCAGGGAGGTCTCATGGCTTCTGTGTAGTTGGCCCTAGACGCTGTGGCAATTCTGGTCAGTGAGATGGAGGGCACAGCGTGCAGAGCCAGTGAAGGGAGAAAGCAAGCTCAGACCAGCACAAGCCGCTGTCATGACAAGATGTAACAGATGGGAGGTCTAGGCTCTGGTGTCCACCCCTAGGCCATGGGGGTCAGGTGGCCAGAGATGTTTGAGTTAGGAGTCCTGAATGAAGAAGCTGCCAGCAATGGGCTGACCGGGAAGCACATCGTAGGAGGTAGGGTTCCCAGACCCAGGGGAAGGGAGAGGATTATCCGTGGGAAGACCAGCTTGGT